GTATACTTCTCAGCAATCCTCAAGGTAAGCAAGTTTATTTCAGTACCAGAAGGGAGATTAAGTAACTAAGGTTACATGGCTAGGAAATAAAAGCACCTACCGGCACTGGCACTAGAATTGGAAACACATCTGCCTAAAGCTAACACCTGTGTTCTTCACTACTATGTAATATTGTCACAAACTCCACAGAGTCATATCCTTTTAGGGACATCTATTTTCATTCTACTTTCTACCTCTAAATCCAGTTTTAAAACTTGCCTTCGAATTCTCTTATATCACTGCAGATGTTAGACTACACGGCTACTAGTGATTTCCTGTGAAGCCTTTGATTTTGGAGAAAAAAAGAAGTCCAACAGAAGAGATGGAAGTTTTAGGAACACGATCTGAAACATGCACCATAAAATTTTACAGAGAAAAGTGCTATAAATTTTTTTTGGATCCAAGTTACTTTTCTTAAAGCTCAAATTATTTTTTAAAAGCCCATAAATAAAATAAATAATTTTTCTTCCTGACATTATCTTCATGCTTCCAATTTCTTTAGTAAAATCAGAAGCAATAGTCATTGGCTAAAATCTCTTCTACTTGTAAGGCAAAGATCTGATTCAGTTCTTGTCCAGTTGGGTTTGCAACAGGAATCGTGGAGAGAATCAAGTCCGTGCACCACGGCCCCACTGTATATGACACTGGAAATCACAAAATAAATAGCGGATTCTCATATCATTTTTTCTAGTGAATTAAAAGCTACACATTTACAAATTGTAAAGCTTAACTCACCACAATTTTTACTCCATTTGTTCTAAAAGCCTTTATGTTTTCCTAATTCATGTCAACTCTTAAAAAAGAGTAACAAAGGTTTAAATAAGCATTCCAGTAATACTATTTTGAGATACTCGTTACTAAAATGAATTTCATTCACTCAAAAATATAAAACTATACTGACACCAAAAAAAGTCATTAACTTTTAAAAAATAGATGAACCGGAAATTCAGTTTGGGAAAGAATTTATAATGTATTCATTCAACCCCTAAGCTATCCATGTGCTCCTGTATGCCAAGCAATGTTCCAGAGTCTAAAAGCACAAGATACTCAGCCTCAAGTTGCTCATCCCCATTCTATTTCCTCTATTACGCCTGTAAGGAAACATATCTGACTCACCATTCTTTTTAACTGGGTCCAAATAACAATCATTTCCCAAGCTGGTCAGCCTCAAAGTTCAAAATTGAATTCTTAACGTCATAATAGGATAATCTATTCAATTTCAGTTTTTATTTAGCAGTATTTTGTCTAAACACATTTATCATCCCTGGGAATAAATATCATGAAGTCCTGATTTAGGCATAATGACTCAATGAATTTTCAGCTCCATTGAAAACTGAGAAACAAAAGTTTGAGGACTCTAATTTTTTCTTTTCATCGAGTTACCACAGGATAACTCAGGTGAGGCCAGAAGATGTTAACTCTTTTGTGAGTAATGGAGTGCTTGAAAATCTGATGAAAAATTTACGTACATGGAAATTTTAGATTAATTTTGGAAGGGGTCCCTGAAATTTATAAAGGCCCTTCCACATATGTAAAGACCATGGGTATTTTGGGTGACTTTGGGGCTTGAATTTCATTTCATTCAATTTGGTATTTCCTGTCCCAGAATAGATTTTAGAAAATATCTGTTGAAGGAATGAAATCTGACCTTATGGAGCTCCCTTTTTTGTGTTGTTGTTCTGTTTTGTTTTTGGTACCGGGGATCGAACTCCGGACCTTGAATTTAAGGCAGGCAGAGGAACCACTGAGCTAACTCCCCACCCTGGAGCTCCCTTTTTAATCTTCCTTCTTCCCATGATCTTCCACACATATACTTTTCTAAAATGTATTTGTTCAAGATTGACAATCGAAAAAATTATTTTCCAAACTCTACTTTCACAATTTTCTTTTTTCCACCTCACAAAAGAAAACCATTGCTCCTATTCCCTCAAATACTACAATGATACAATTGCCTAAGGTTAAAAAGCGCCAAAGAATTATTTCTAAAATACCTTCTGAAGGAATATCTCTTGGGGGAGATACCTCTAGAAGAGATGGAAAGCGACTGCTTTATCTTATCCAAGGGATAAACTCTCTGCAGCTCCCCATGCCTCATTTACATGTTGAATAATTTCACATCAGAAAGTGAGATGATTATATTGGGAGACACTGTAATACTTACTTAAATTTAGAAAGTCAGTCTTCTCTGATAAGAAGTTATCTTAATCAATTAATTTGACAAAAAGCATTGACTTTGACATGAGGATATATAACATCAAAAGAGCTAAATCTGCACTTGTGAGATTTTGACAATATGTACTTAAAGCATATGCATAATATATAATGTGCTGTAAATTTATACTTGGCAACAATTTAACCTTATGCCAAAAAATATGAGGTAATTTGAAAATTACCAAGGGAACGATGGATTTAAAAATTATTTTGGGGCCAGGGATTTAGCTCAGTGGCACCGCACCTGCCTTGCAAGCACAAGGTCTTGAGTTCGATCCCCAGTACCAAAAAAAAAATTATTTTAAGGCTATTTGAACAAACATGTTTGAAGTCCGTTGAGTTAGAGGTTATATGTTGTCTGTGTGTTTGTTTTTCCCAGTACCGGGGATCGAACTCAGGACCTTGCACTTGCCAGGCAGGCGCGGTGCCTCTGAGATACATCCCCAGCACCTACAGGTTATACGTTGAATTGATCCTTCCTGGGGCTTTCCCTTCACAAAACCCGGCAAGGGAAAAAGACAACAGCAACAGGTTTGATGACCAACAGACTGATACCAATCAGAGCAACCTCTCTTCTCTTTGTACAGCAAAACGCAGATGATTCATTCCCACCTAGGAGGACTGTTTTGAGGATAAAGTAAGGCAATGTAAATAAAGGACATGGGACCTGGCATAAAGAAATGTTAACCATTTCCTAATGTTCCTGCTAGCAGTTGCTGCTCGTTTGCCTGGTTTTTTTCCCCTTCAAATTGAACCTAAGTTGTTACACCAAGATGTTTACTTTCCTCTTCCATATTTCATTTTTTGACCCTGTCCTTCTTTTGTTTCTTTAATTTTTTCCTCAAAAACACAATCACTCATCTTCCTCCATCTCCTTCCCTCTCTCCCTCTCCCTCAGTCATCTTGCTTTAATGCTCTTTTCCACTTTTCTCTTTAAATTTTACTACCAACTCCACATATTCAGGTAAAAATGAAACAAAGCAGGATCTTCTGCTCTTGAATAGAATATGCTGAATGTTTTATCCCACTCCACAAGAATGTATATTCCTCCCTAGAAGTTATTTTATTCCCCAATCAAAATAATAGTCAAAGCAGTAAACTATGGTTCTAAAAGATGTTACCAACCTTTTTGGTGCATTTTTTTGGCAAAAAAGTTTCCTGTGAATCTATAGGTATTTAAAAATTAAAATTTTCTAATTAATTGAAGAAAAATATTTGTTTTATCTTTTTCCTTATACTTTTTTATTTCTTATAGTGAACATATATTTTGTCTTAAAAATAATACATTTAAAATGTGCCAATAAAATTAATTTTTAAAATTTAAAAAGTAAAAATAATATTCACATAGATTACATTTCTTGAATATGAAACATTAAATCATAAATGCACTACAAAATATAAGATAGTATTTTTAATGGGAGTGTCATAGGGGAAAGAAAATTGACCCAGAAAAGAATTTTAATAAAAAAAGTTATAAAAGACTAACAAATTTCATTGCATAAAAAATTTTAAACAATATAACATAAGTTAAAATATATATAACAGAATAGAAGCAAACATTTGTTACATATAATAAACAAAGACTTAAAGTCTACAACAAACAGTACCTACATACTAATAGGAAAATATTTTTTAAAGAAGGAAGCAAAAACAAGAAAAAATACAAACAAGCAATTCAAAGAAGAAATACAAATAGTCAATACGAACTCAGTCCATTTAATATCCAGAAAAAAATGCAAAGTAAGTAAAAAATGTATTACTTTTCACTCAAACACACTGACAAAATTTAAAAGATTGACAATACGTATATACTTTTGTTTTCAATGTAGAAAAACAATTTTATCCATTACTGAAAGTACACTGGGGGAGTATTTTGCAAAATTAAAAATCAACTGATTGCATTTTGTGAAATCTATTTTATTAGAATATTTACTTATGAACCAAAACACGTATAAACACATTTGCTGTCCACTTAACAGGACTTCTCTGATACCAAGTAACTGGCCCAGAACATCTGGATATCTCACTCCTCAGCACTAGGTACACAGGGAGATCTGGAAGACAATGTCTGACTCTTCTTTCCTCAGAAATGGACCCATTCTCTACAATAAATAGTCCTTAGAAACACCTGAGAGCTCAGAGCTGGGCTTCCTCAATGGGACTGACTCTTAGAAGCTCCCCTAGCAGCTGCAGAAATTTACGAAATTGATGCTGAATAAGAATTCCCATCAGCTTTCCAAAATTTGATATATGTAGCATAATAGTATTACATTATATATTTTATGTTATATACTATAATACTACTATATTATCACTATAATCACACATTCGTATATATTCTGACAATATTGTTATTTCAAAGCACATGAATGTGGTAGATTGGTCTTTTATTTTGTTTTGTTAATTCAGTTCACAGTAGACAATCAATAAATCGGGAATGAAACCAACAAATTGAAAGTAGTAGCAATAAGCAGGAGATTGTGCTGCTTCTTTGAGCAAAACCACTGATCCTCATATTAGGTGTACTATCTCTAACAGCAAGAAACAGAATACAGAGGGAACATGAAGTTCTGTTTGGATTCCCACAATCCTGCCTCATTTATTTACGATCCCCTTTCCTCCTTCCTGCCTGTACAAATAGTTTTCCTCTTTGTTTCCCAAACTGAATCACACTCTCTGCCTTTAAGATGCTCAATATTTCAAAAGCCTTCCTCTTTAGTTCCACACAGAGAGAGGTCAAAAGCTCTTACCTCTGCCGAATTATGCTGGGATTAGCTGTCACCAAATGAGTTTTGGATCCAACATCTTTAGTGTATTCACTTGACAAGGGAGGCAGGTTGCATCTAGAGACACAAAAACAAGCATTTCAGGGTGACTTAATACTTTTAAATCAAGTCAGCTATAATGGCACAAATAGGAACTTTAATTCTAGCTCAATTTACAAATAACTGTATTTTACCACCTTTCCCTTTTAATAGACATTAGATGACTAATTAACCATCAGCATTTTTAAAACGCTGTCAAAAAAAACTAGTCCTATTTTAGAAGAAAGAAAATGTCAGCTACAGAGGTAAAAGATCTACCAAACAAAAGAGACAGTAAGTAGAATGTATTTATTCCTTTTAAAATATTTGAGGTGGTAGGACAGGAGTATTAGGCTTGAAATTAGGGCGCGGGAGGTAGAAGACACAGAACCAACTGCTCTCTGCATAACAATAAACCTCAGAGACACAGGAATTATACTTGCCTATGTTGTCCTTTCTTCTCCAAACATATAAATTATAATAGTACATTCAGGGCGATGTAATGTTCACTTAAATCAATGTATGTCTGGCTTTTCTGACCAATGCACAGTTTGATTAGTGGTGAAGACATAATGTCACGGCACCCAAAGAACTGCAATGATACCAGTTCCTCTAAGGAAAAGGGGACTGGCAATGTTTTCCTAGTGAAGCGAACAGTCCCACTCCTCCCACCCCCAAAGCTCCACCCCTGCACTCTAATCATTTGCCTTGGCCACAATGTCTTGTGAACATGTACAACGAAAAGCTATGGCCATTTCAAGTCCGGACTCCATGGCTTTCTGCCTGTGGGACATTAGGCAAGTAAATTCATTTCCTGCCCTGAGTTTCTCCATTACATCCAATGAAGATAATGACTTTTCCTCTCTTACCGAGTTATTGGAGGGACTGAAAAACACTGTATAACAAGTCCACCTCTTGATGCCTCACACAGGGTAGAAGCTCAAGAATGTCACAACCAAAAATGTCGTGGAAATATAACTAAATATATATTTGTTATCTGTGAAAACCTCAAATAAGGCTACAGCTTTTCATTAGGTTTTTCTTTGGTTTCTGTCTCCTAATTTTTCCCCTCAACCTATATGTCTAGCTTGACTCCTGACACATCAAGTTAAATCTAACTTTCTACCACTTTAGCAAACCAAAGCATATTTATAGATAGAGATATCTTACAAATACTAAGGTCTCTGCCAGCTATTAAGAGGTGTGATTGAAAACCATGGTGAATTTTTAAATTTTTTAACTACAGTAAAAATCACATTGCCATTAATGCCCCCTCTCCCTCTCTCTTGCCTTCTTTGAATATACTTGTCCCATCATTCTTGCTACTTTCTAAAGCAGTTCCAGAAGTCCTCTTTCAAGAGTGTCTTTAGTTGCACTGCTGTTGCAGCCTCAATGTCCTGAATTAGTTTAAAACATGTACCATTCATGGTCATTTGTACTTTGGGGAAGAACCTGAAGCCATAGGGTGCCAGATCTGGTGAATAAGGTGGGCAAAGGCACACTGTAGTCTTTTTATGAAAGGGACTCACTAAAGAGGACTTCCAAAACTTCTTCCGAAAGTGGCGAGAATAATAGAATAAGTGTGTTCTAAGCAAAGGGAAATATTTGGAGGGAACTTAATGGTAGTATGTCTTTTACGGTAATATTTTAACAATTTAAATATTCACCATATATTTTATCATACCACATTAATTTTCCCTACACATTTGCCCCCAGGAGATGGAATTGGCCATGTGCTCACTCAGCTGATCAGCTGGAATTCCCCGATTTTGTTTTTGCTTTCAGCCTGGGACTCCTATCACTTCAGGGAATCCCAGGGAGAAACTTGTCTCTGTGGATTTAAGAGTTGTCCTTTCATCTCTTGGTGAGTAATGAGAGACTGGTTCTCCTGCCAACTACCCACAGGTCAGAGTGTCAGTCAGCTGACCACCTCACTGAGAGAAAAAAATAGGGGTCTTTGTGGGGGCCTGGGGAGAGCCTGTCACAGAGCCCCTGCAGGCCAGTGGTGGCATCACATCCTGTGCAGTTGCCTGAGGATCCTCAGGCAGGAGAGAACTCATGACTGGCTCGCCAGGCTGTGGTACCGAATGTAGTCTTGTGATTTGACAGATCTTTGTGAAGATAAAGATAAAACAGATTAAAAGTCAGATACATCTCTTAAAGAAGCTTTGTTGTTGATTGCCTTTGGTAACATCTGAGAAGCAACCACACTGTAGTACAACTGTGAGCTCTAAACATTGCCAGAGAGTGCCATTAATCTGTTTTGTCATTAGGAAATGAAATAAGATAGTTTTCATGAGTGAATACTTTGATTTTCTGTGTGTTCTATGGTTCATACGTCTGGATCCCTTCATACTTCCTACCACAGAGTATAAGCTCAAGAAAAACTTGCAGATGCTGATTTTACCTGATAATAAAAGAAAATGCTCACAATAGTAAAGTAGATAAACGCATTTCTAGAAAATAATGGCAATACATTTCAGTGTAAATATCTGCCTTAACTTCTTCTAGGTGAACTTTCTTTTTCTTTTTTTTTTTTTGGTACCGGGAATCGAACTCAGGTCCTTGTGCTTGCCTGGCAGGCAGCAGAACCACTGAACTAAATCCCCAGCCCCAAGGTGAACTTTCTTTTCAAGTGCAAATATCTAAGACAATTTCCTCTATCTCTTAGGAAAAGCACACTATAATTTTAGCTCCTCAGTTCCTAAATTGATAATTACATAGATTTACATAAAAGGCACATTTAATACAGTCAAATTGTTTCTAATGAGGCATAATTGTGTAAAAGTGTTCGAAACTTTGCATTGTTGCTTGTTGGCACAATTAACATATATTAATGGCTAAAGTGTCTCAGTAACAGTGCTCAAAATCCTAAAAGAGATCCAATCCCAAAGCTGGCAAGAAATAAATATTCTTTGAATTGGGAAGTAGAATGGGTGAAGACTGGGCTTAGTGGAGAGAAATTTTAAATAGAAAAATCACAAAATTACTCTAAAATTTTATATACATAGATTTAAGTATGCAATGCATACATTTGAGTATAATTCAAAAGGCACCAAAATTATGTTGTCTTCACTGTAACCCCGAACCCACCCAGTCTGTCTTCAGGATACAATCACTGTTATTTCTGTCTCACAGGCCTTCCAGCTATATTGAACTCAACAGTATTATTTTTTAATGTGTTGTTTTTGATTATACAGCAAATGTGCACTTTAAAAAATGGGAAATTGACTTTTAGCATTTTAGAAGATGGTGTGTGAAAACATCTAAGCAAAGAAAATTATGGAATCATTACTTTCTAGTCCTAAAAGTTTGACCTGTAATCTGGTATGACACTATGTAAGGGCAGTGCTATTTTGGGGTCTCCTTTCCCACTTAATCTGTCCATGTATCCTTCAATGTAGGATCACACTGGCCACATGCTTTTGGAAAATACGATATTTTCTCAATTTTCTAAATGTGTCCTCTGAAATGTGTATTAACCACTTATAAGTAGATCTGTAAATGGCCAAATAATAATAATTTATCAACATTTATTATTCCCATATTGGGAACCCTATATAAGCCTTTGTGATACAAAAATAGTCCAATTTGTGATATTAATCAAAGACATATATACACATAGCTTTAGTTGCAATGCTACCTTCCTTGGATTGTTTTCAGTCCTTACTTTTCTCGTCATCCTATAAACATTGTGCTCCATACTGTGTTGGGCACTCTAATCACAGGTGCTCATTAATTCCAAACTTGGATATATCAATAAAAGGCTGTACAAGGCCAACAGTCTCATTTATTTAAGATAAATATTGTCCTGCTAGATAATCCCCTATGATGCTTAGGCCTTGTACAAGTTAAACTGAAAATACTCATCTTCCCAAGGGAAGATACACACACACACACACACACACACACACACACGTACACACACACACGTCGGAAATAATAGAAAAAATATTTATTGTACTGCTTCCTTCTACACTATATCAAGGCCACTTGAAATCACTTCTCTGAACCTCTGAACTTAATATTATCTGTTCCTTCTTCCTTATATAATGTGTAGAAAGAGCAAATAAATTTATACAAAAGCAATCTGAAAATTTAAAGAAAGCTACACAACCTCTGTTACATTAGGGACACCTTCACAGAAGCACAGGTTGAAGCAGAGTTGCCACAACAGAAAGCATTTTACAAGGCTGAGCAACAGCGGAGGTCACATAACACACTGCAGGTCACAGGCCTGGCCAAGGGCAAGGACTTGTCCTCCTAACCCTCAGTGTTTCCTATGGGCTCCTCAGCCTCACCTAAAGCCACAGTCCTGGATTGGGGTCCTGGGCAGGCCCAGGGCCTCTGCCTGTCTCATCCCACGCTGCTCTCCAGGTGATTTCATCCAGTCCTGTGGCTTTAATCTCTCTCCAGTCCCTCTCCAACACACCATTGTCCTCATTTTCATGACACTGCAACAGGACCCAGTGTCTTCCCCACATTACAGCTATGGCAAAGGCCTCCTTCCTACCCTCAGAGGAACAAAGAGAGGACTCAGCCCAGACGATGCTTTTCCTCAGAAGCTCCCACTGCCTCCATCATTTATGTCTGCATTCTCCCGAAGCACATCCCCAGGATACCAGCCCATCTCAGAACTGTTCAATGTACCATTCCCCAACCCTCCTGAGGCCCAATACACAGAAAGTGCACAGTAAACAGAGTCTGCATTGAATTAAGAAAACTACTTTTTCCTCCATTTCCCTATTGCTTGTATATATTGCAAAAAAAATTATAATAGAGGTGAAAAGATAGTAACCGGGAAAAAATATGCTACAGCACCCCATGAAGGCAAGGTAGGTAAGGATGTCCCTACTCTGCCACAGGGTTCCCCAAGCGAGACTCTCTCTGCAGCCCCCTCTCCTCCTCTGAGAGGGAACCTGGCCTTCCCCTAAGACAAGGGTTTCCCCAAACCCCCCTGAAACAGTCCTTTCTATCCCATTTAGCTCAGTTCAGGGCTGGTTCAGGGTTCTTTCAGCGATCTTCTGCCACTTCGGTACTTATTCATCCTTTAAAAAAACAAAAAATCTCCCTCCTCCTTTTCTCAGCTTCCTGCCCTCCATTTACTGGGGTCCTCAGCCTTCCTGGGCATGGAGCCCCTTGGGCCCTGGCTGATGGTCCTTCCGACTTCATTGGGATTCTAGGGTCTGACCTGAAAGACCCCACAGAGTCTAACCTCAATTTTCCCTTTACATCCTCAGTCACAAATGTCCTGCTTTTCTACAACCTGTCTAATCATCCCCTGCACAAGACAAAGCTCTGAAATCTTAACACTCCAGCGGGCCATTCTTGGACTGTCTTCTCCACCCATTTCTCCCTCCTCTTCAACACCAGTCCCCTCGTGGCTCTGAATGCCGGCCATTTGGCCCCCTCCCCTTCTCCTTCACACAAGACAGAGCCCACTCCCTTTCCTGCCAGGCTGCAGGCCTGTTGCTTACTTCCCGGCCCTCCATGCTATCACTCCCTGTGCTTCCCTCTCACCGGATTTGAAACCTGCCCTAAGGCAATCGCTCGCTCTTTGCTCCCACACGGGGCTGTTGGGCACCTGTGCTCAAGATCACCAACAGCGCCCTCTGGTGGCCTAGAGTCTCAGGATCTCCTCCGCCCAGGGCCGGACCCTCAGCAATTCCTCATCTCGCCCCTGCAGGGGCCTCTTCTCCTTGGATCTCACTTCTCAGCACTTAGCTGAGGCCCGTGACCGAGCTCTCCTCTTCTTTGAGGCTGACTCCCCCTCCTTCTTTCCCATTTTCCTAGTCATGGATACATTGAATCCCTCTTCAAATCCCACCTGCCACTTTCAAATGTTTTTGTGAAAAACTAGGAAGACAAGGGTGTACCATAAAATGGATAAGTTAAAATACTTACTCATATGGAACTAGCTTTAATGAAAGAGCAATTTAAAAAGTTTTCAGCATCCGACTGTACCATCTAAGGGGAAGTCGGAGGAATGTTTCCGCTTTTCCTGGCTGCCCTTATTAAGGGACAGAGTGGGTACCTCTAAGACCCCTGGGCTCTGATGGCTTTGCACCTCATCCGGGCACTTTCCCTCGCACTCTCACGAACTCCAGAGTGTATGAGCCTGAGGGAAGCTAAAGAGTGTACTTCGGCTGATTAATGCCAAGTGACTAGTTCTGAAAGGCCCGGGGCTTGCGGGAGGGGCGGGGACAAGGAGAGAAGGCGAGGCGGCGCTGTGGTGCTCTCTCTTACCGCATGACAAAATTTGCTGCATCTATTTGCCGGCCACAGCCACTCTTCTTCAGAATCCCACCATTTCCCACCACCGCACATTTCTTCAATGGCAGCTGGAAGGGGGTTGCCTAGCAACAGAAAACAAGGCGGGTTTTCACTGCAAAGAACACACAACCTCACAAAAATCATTGTTTACAGCAGACCCTTTGGAGGAAGTTGAATGAAGGCTGGGCCGGGCAAAAAGACCATGTGGAAAGAAAGACGCCAAGAAATCTGTAAGGACCAAACTAGCCTGTTCCTTTGAAATTAAAAAGGCAAAACAAAAAAACTCCCCCAACGTGTATTTAAATACAATCTTTCTTCTCTTTGTCGAACTGGCCAAGCCCATAGTAGAGGGTGTTTGCTGGGGAAAAACAAAAAAAATCCAAACTAAACACAGGATTATTCTTAAAGGCATTAAACTGGGAACAAACTAAAATGAATTCTAGTCCCCTATCGGATTGCAATTTCATCCACTCACAGTCAGTCATTCGTTCCACATAGGTTTCTGGGCATTTTCTATGCTGTTGGGGATGTGAGTCGCAGCCTTGGAACTCACAACTTAAGACGTGAGGAGAGGAAGGGCAACAGCAGCGCTGAGATGCTGAAGTTGTGCAGAAGAAATGAGCATTACTTGCTAAGGCAGGTACCCGAACAGGGAAAGCTTTCTCACCTGAAATGAACCTCGAAGAAGGAGGATTTTGCAAAGCAGAGAAAGCAACATAAACAAAGGCACAAAATGATTTGCTGAGGGCAAACGCTGTATTTATGAGCACAGAAGCACTGTGCAGATGGTTTTGACCAGAAGTCAGGAGGCACTGACAGAGGGGCAAGTAACTTGCAGTGAACCAGCCAGCATGTGACTCTCCCCCTGCAAACAGTAGACTGGACTGGGAAGGAAATGTTGAACTACCTGAGTGTGCCTGGAGTGCTATTTATAGCACCAGGGAATATGGAAACCCCACACTTGGACCTGAAAGTAAAACCCATCATTTGGCCTCCTGGAGCTGGATCAGAAAGAATTGCAGGCTACAGAATTTCCTGCTTGCTGAAGCCACACCTAGCTACTGGAGTTCTTGTAGGAAGACCTTATGTATATATAAATGGTTCCGAAAATAACAGTACTGATAGTAAATAGTTTGCCCTGGATGAATCTCAAGCAAACAATATGGATTATACAAAAGAACGCATGGAATTGATACACGAATATACATAAGAAGGGCTTCACAAAGGTATGAAGTAATTAAATGAGTAAAAAAATTTCAGGAGGCTCTCCATTCATTGGTAGTGAAGGTAGGCACTTAATGCAGCCAAGAAGATTTTTTTTTTTTGTACCGGGGATCGAATTCGGATCCTTGGGCTTGTGCAGCAGGTGGCAAAACCACTGAGCTAAATTCCCGGCCCAAGCCAAGAAGATTTTATTCCCTTGATTTCTAGTACGTAAGAGGAATAGCCAGAGCTATGGAAATATTGTTGATAAATATGCAGTACTTAAAGCATAAAGTCTGAGCATCTGCAAGATGCAAGAGCATCAGGAATTCCCTGTATTAGCAGAGCAGAGACAGTCCAGTACCCCGCCGGGCAGAATATACAGAGGAGGGAGAAGCAAAGAACCAGCATTCTAACAGATTCAGAATGATACATGGCATTTTTCTCAGTCAGCCCTGAGAGAATAGATTGGGATCAATGTCAGAAAAACATTAGTTAGATCTGTAATTGGTTGGAAAATATTTAAGTATTTATATTCACAGAGTTGTTTGTTTATTCCACAAATATTTAGTGTCTCTTATGTGTCAGGCACTGTCCTGGGTGATAGGAACACAAGTGAAAAATCACTGTTCCCTTGGAAGTTATATCATATGGGAGAGACAGGTAAGAAATAAAGACACAGAGTATACTGGTCAGCTTTCCTTCACTGGGAGCAAACACTTGATAGCCACAGTTTAAAGGAAATGAAGTTTATTGTAGCTCACAGTTTCAGAGGTTTCAGTCAAAGCAGAAACATCATGGCGGAAGGGCATGGCGGAGCAAAGCTGCTCAACTCATGGCATCTGGAAAGCAAAGAGCAGGGATAGAGCCAGAGAGTAAGGGACCAAGGACCAGATATAGAACCCAAGGTCATATGGCCTACCCAGACATGCCCAGAAGTGTGTTTTACTAATGCGCTCAGTGGCTCCCAAGTCAGTCACATTGACAATCAAGACGAATCATCACAAATATGGGCCATGGAGAGAGTCAAGACACGGTTGTGGAGAGGAACTGCAATTTGAACAGGGTGTTAGGGGAAGAGTTCATAGGCTGCATGTGAACTTATCCCAGCAGGAGATAAGGAAATGAACCATTCAGATACTGTAGAAACAACTGATGCACAGACCTTGAGATGGGAACATTTCTGGGATGGGAAAGGAAGAGCAGACAGCCCGTGGTGTCTGAAAATGAGTCAGCAAGGGAGAGAGAAGTAGAAGTAGAAGTAGGTAGATTGGCAAGAAACTCTGTAGGGCTTTGTATGGTATTGGAAAAACTTCAGTTTTTATTTTAAGATGAGAATCAAGTCAAGCTGGGGAGGGGGTTGAAAAGCAGTGAGATTACAACATATGTTGGAGCGATCACTATGCTACTGTGCAGAGAGGCTGCAGGATGTCATGAGAAGAAAAAGAAATTGGTGAGGAGCCTCTTGTAATAATCCAGGCTGGGGATTTTGGTGACTTGGACCAGGGGTGTAGTGGGAGTGTGAGAAGAAGCCAGATTCTGATGATATCCTGGAGGAAGATCTGACAAAAAAAAAGGAATCAAGCAAGGACAATAGCCAGAGTTTTGGGCTGAATGACTGCAAAGACAGATTTGTCATTTCCTGAGACAGGAAGGTCATAGGAGGAGCATGTTTAGGGAAGTGATCTGAAACTCGGCCTTTAACACATCAAGTGTCTGAGGGCCATTTAGACACTCAAGTGGCAATGTAGAGGAGGCAACTGAGCCGGCAATCAGGGAACTGGTCTTTCCTGGAGAAAGTTGAGAGTGATCAGCATGGCTATTTAAAGTCAGGAGACTAGCTGGAGAGTGAGTATAGACATAGACAGCAAAGAGATTTAAGAAAGGCTGAATTTTTTTAAAAAGGAAGGAAGGAAAATTTGCATCAAACGCTGTTGATTGATAGATTAAGTACAATAAAAGCTTAAAATTGCCACTGGACTTAGCAACTGGTAACCTTGACCAGGATTTGGCTCAGCAGTAAGGGCAAAAGCCTGATCTGAGTTCAGTGAGTTAAACATATACATTTGCACATAGATTTGGATGCAGTTTATTAGAAAATGTGGATTCACGTGTCCTCAGCTAATATGTAGCTTGATTTATAAACTTCTTAAATTGCTAAAAAAGAGGTCCTGGAACCTCATGGGGTGGTGATTCCAGGTTTTAGACAGGACCGTAACAGACAGATCTGGGAATCAACAACACAGACTGGGACAAACACTGCCCCCTGACTCCACAGGGTTATAAGATTTGAGGGCGGCTGTAATGCTCCTCTGCGTTGGGCTTCCTGCCTCTGAAGGGGGATAATATTACCAGCAGTATGTGAGATAACCCACACAAAACCACTGACAGGGCGGGCTGTTCTCTTCTTCCTGCCTCTTTTCATTCCTTCCCTTCTTCCAGCAGAGTTCATGAACTTGTTCAATACCTACATTTCATGGGCTTCTGTGGAAGAAGGTAAAACAGTGATTTATCTAGCTGTTATTTTAATCATTGGGAATAATTTAATTAGCAGAAAATTTAACTATTATATACATGCACTATTAAGATGGTCCTGGGCTGGGGATTTAGCTCAGTGGTTCCGTCACCTGCCTTGCAAAGGCAAGGTCCCGAGTTCGATCCCTGGTACCAAAACAAAAACAAATAGTCCCAAAAGTCTTCAAACAAAAGTCCAGGGATTTAGAAAATAAAAAGGCCACTTCTGACTTTTTTCTGGTAACGTTCACTTGATCCTTCTTCATTGTGTCAACTGCTAGCCCTGGCACAAGCAATTTCATTTCAATGTATATTCTCAAGTTCCTGGGTACACTCTTCTAACCAATTGATAACACATCATTGAACAATAATAGCACACCAAAGCTTTTCAGAGAGGAAAAACATTAATTGAGGAAATGCTATGGATTTTTATTTTAGATAAACATCAGTAACTGAGATAATACTGTCATTATTCTCTTTTAGACACAGAATACACACTTGGCAATGGTCAATGCTTTTTATAATGATCTAGAACAAAGTATTGTTCTTTTTTGTTATGCTATGTAAAAGAAATTTTGGTCATCTATTGTCACATAAACATTATGATTTTTATGGGTTTTCATTAAGACACTGCATGCTGTCTTTTGAAATGCATCTCCTTGTACCCATGCAAGAAAGTATCTATTAGACCTGAGAATGTAGTATTATAACACTCCTGCCAAACTTAAAAAGTATCACTCTAAATGAGAGGACAGATTGAGAAAGATGGGAAAGATTGTAATGATGAACTCAAAATTTTTCAACACTTGCTCAGCTATTAATTCAGCTTATGGATTTTTTGTCCAAATTTTTTCACCCATAACTTTCTTCTGTTAGTGGCCAACTTTGTAATAATCATATAGTATTACCCATCAAGATTTTAATTTGCCAGGCCCCTCAACCCCTCGGTGACACTCTGAAAATCAGACTTAGGAAACTTAATGTCAGGAAGGTTAAAAAAAAAAAGCAAACAAAAATTAGAGTCATGTTTTATGGCATGCATGAGGGTGAAAAGAATTACCTGAGGCTAGAAGACTTTTTCAGAAATAAACTGCAAGTGCAAACTGTGAAAATATTCCTGGCTGACAATATGACTTCTGAAAGAATGCTATTAAAATCTGAAGAATTTAAACTGGTTTTTTTTTATGCCTTGGGTGAATAGTACCAGAGCATTCCGGAAAAAGGTTTACAATTAGTTGAATGAAACTTGATTACCAGAGTCATATGCAAAGCCTCCCCTTTTCCTCTCTTCCACATGCAATCCTCACAGGGCAGCCAGGAGCCAAGGAGCTGATCTGCACTCCCCCCCCCCCCAGCAGAGCCAGCTGAGCCACTCATCTTCCCAAACATAACTAGAAGTCTTGACCCACAACTGCACACGGCCTCTGTAAGCAACTGAGTTAACCTCCATAATCCCCAATTGCTTTGGAGTTTCAGAAATGTGAACCACTCAGTAGAAAATAAACTGGATTAACCAGTATTGTGATGGCTCTTTTCACAGGAATGTACAATATTTTATTAAAGAGCATCTCTGATTACAAATTAAGCTACAACAGTTTTTGAAAGAGGTCGCATTTGAGGCATGTCGACAGTTTTAAAAATTAGCATCATGAATCGACATAAAATCAGAATCTAAGAATAAAAAGTGTTCCACAGACCCGCTAAAGGGCAGAACTAGATATTAGGGATGCTGGCTCTTCGGTCTCTACATCTGAGTTATAAAAAGTATCCTTAAATCAGATTTCTTTGGGAACATCGGGAATCTAAAGAATTTGGAATCCCAGAAGAAACCCACTAAGATCCTATCGGTACTAGAACTCTGTTGAAACTGTCCTAAAGCCTGAGCAGACTTGAACAGGAGCTGAGGCTCCGGGGCTTATAAAAATTGATTCACAGATTCAATCAGATTAAGCACTATAATCAGTGGCCAATTCAATACCTTGAGTTCCAAAAATTATCTTAGCAACAAATGTGTATTTTTCATGTTCTTTCTGTCTTTGAAGGTGGCAACAAAAGAATTCATTGTTTTAAATTTAATACACAATGTTCAGTATCCGATTATGACTCTCACCATAATTCACTGCTTCACTATGACATTCTTAGGTGCACAAAGTATTTTTGCACTGCTTTGCTTTTGATTCTTCTTCCCCTGGTTTCCTTCTACTAATCCCTTGTTCCCATTTTATCTGTAGCCTATATTCCTTGCTTTGTTCCTCTTATACAGGAAGCATGACATCACTATTTATAAATAAACATTGTTTTAGATAATTAGGCTATCACGGTTCAGTTTTGAGGGTTTCACTGCACAAATAACTGTGTGATACTCTTTCAGCTAAAAGAGTTGATGCTTACTCTTAACACTTGACAATTGAGATAAAAATACAGTGAATGTTGAATTTTTAAATTATTCCTCCTGACAATTCTCCCCCTTGCTTCAAAAACACTTATCCCACTGTTCTTGCCACTTTCTGAAGCAGTTCTGGAAGTCCTCTTTCACGTCTTTAATTGCACTGTCTTGGCTGTCTCAGTGTCCTGAATTGATGCAAACTGTTTACCATTCACGGTCATTTTGACATTAAGGAAGAGCCAGAAGTTGCATGGTGCCAGATCTAGTGAGCAAGGTGGATGACACACTGTGATTTTTTCTTTTTACAGGCCTGCCTTTCTCTTGGGTGGCATGTTGTGGCAGCGTTCACTGTATTTTTTTTTTTAAATCACACCTTATAGACACTCAGAAAAGAGGAGGACTTCTATAACTGCTTCAGAAGGTTGCAAGACTTACGAGATAAGCATGCTTGAAGCAAGTGGGAGCACTAGTAGGAGGATTAATGATATTGTGTCTTTTACTATAATATTTTTTAAATTGAGCATTCATCATATATTTCAATCACAACTTACACATAAGAAAATTGTTGTGTTTGGGTTGTGTGTGTGTGATTTTTTAGTTGATAGTAGTGAGGTTTTCTTGTTGTTCCTTAATCCTATTACTCTTCTCCAATCTCTCTATCTTCTTGGAAAGAAGGTGGAGCCCATCTTCCTTCTATCTTAAAGATAGAAAATTTACCCATTCAGCATTTAGAACACCATCAAGCAAAACTATGAAGAAGAATGAACATCAGTGTTAGATGTGGATCTCAAATCACATCAGAAAAGCAGAGGTGTTGCTTTGCAAGCCTTTAGAATGATCAAAAAAACCATCACTACATATCACCTGCTATTAGTCCCCATGCCAAATCTCATGCCTGCCCTTCGTGATGAAAATCTCCAGTTCTGTTCACAAGAACATCAACAAATACCTAACTGCACACCAACCTATTCATTTCTATGTACCCTCACCTATGGATTCACATGGACTCCCACATACTTATGCTTCACCCACACACATAATTTAATTTCTTGCCCATATGGTAATTATATCAACTTAGGCATCTAAATATAACCCCCTGCCTCACATCTAATTATAGCCCCCTCTTATGAATGTAATTACACCATTCAGCCACCCATCTAATTATCCCCTCCTTGACATACTTAGTTGTACTGCCCTGCTCAAGGACCTAATTACATTCTAACCAGTGCATCAATTAAACCCCCAACCCACCAATACTCCTCAAATGCAAGTCTCTTTATCGCTGTATCCAATCACTTCATTACTTCAACTATGGATTGGCAACTTCCCACAAGTGAATTCCTAGCCAACGTGGCACCCAGCTAACCAGGCCAAATAATAAAAGAGAGCTAAACCCAAAGCAGCTTCGGTCATTTCCAGTCAGTAAACTAACATCCATTTGTTTTTTCAGTTATTTAACAAGCCCCTTGGAAGTCCAAATTAAATTTTCAGCTGTTTTCTTACTTTGCATATGTAAATATTTTTATGATAAAAATATCTAGTAATTAGTTCATTTACTGCAGAGAAAAATGCTCCTCATTGCAGATATTCAGTTATTGAGCCCTTAAGAAAACATTACCCAAAACTTTCTCTGGGGATATATATTTCTAAGTGCTAATTATTGAATATTTGCAGATCCCTACAGTCAACTATTCTTCAATATAACTATTCTTCAATTATATGAAAACAATAACTATTCAAAACTATTCTTCAATTATATGAAAACAATTTCCCCAAAAGCTTCTAAGACTTGTATTCCCCACTCTACTAATAAAATTGTGATTTTAAAAAGATAAATTCAGTATTATTACGCTTTCTACAGAGGATGCATCTCTGGATACTGAATGATGTGAATATATACTAGGTGCTATTTGCCAACTGAAATTCATTACCCAATTGATTAAAAAAAATACCTAAGCATTCCAGAAAGAATTTTGTACATTTCATATATAATCTGTTATTTCTGGATATAACTCCATATTGCATCATTTCATGCAACCATAGATTATATTTATTAAACATTTTAAAATTAATTCCCAGTTCAATGAAATTTATTATTGATGTTGTATCTGACTCATGAATCCCAAAGGAGTGAACAAAGATTGTGCCTGTACTATACCAGAGGTTGGCCACATTTCAAAAATTCTCCAAAATGTTGGAATATTTTAGGGTTAAAAAAAAAAGTATGAAGATCATTTACATTTCAAAGGTAAGGGCAGAAAACAGAAGCAACAGCAGGAAGAACTGAGCCTCACACCACTGCTAGTCCTTGCGTTTGTACTTCCTTCATTGGAAAGACCACTGAAAGATTCTTTTTCTCTAAATATAGAAAGTTCTTCTGTCATTGAACTTCAACTCTGAACCCTGCCTGCTTGCATCTGAATCCTTGCTTTAACGTTTCCTCTAGGGCCATGGGCAAGTTATTTAACCATACTCCTTAAGCTTCTGTGATAATGGTACCACTCCATACAGCCGCTGTGAAGATTGAACAGTTATGTCTGGCACAAGCTACTTAATCAATAACTGTCATTTTTGTTTTTAATGAACCGAAATCGTCTCGTAACACACACTAGAAATCTTGGAGTCATTTCTGCTCAGCTCTTTCTTCAGATCATCCTAATACCTAACTGCAGAAGTTCTTGTACTCTTCACCTCTTTGTCTTTAATATAAGTACAGGAAGAAAAAATGGCTTCTTACTTCTGGTTAATTATGACTTCTGTTAGCTTCTGATTCTTGCTCTTCCTCAATCTTTCATTCTTATTCAAATTCTTCTTAAGCAAAGGTACAAATCACTTGGCTAGTAAAAACTATGCCTCGTAAAAATGATGCTGAGTTCCTTGCCTACATACAAAACATTTGAGATCTTCACTAAAGGACGCAGGACCCACCAACATCCCCAGCATCCTGTCCATTCTTTTCTCCCACTCCCATTACCTATATATACACCCAATATTCCCTCTATACCTTTTGTCTTCCTTGTGGTTTTTCACACACAGCCTGTTTCCCGTCTCCCTACCTTTACTGAAGCTGCTAATCCCTTCTTCCTCCCTCTATTTTCCCTGTTATCTACTCACCAAATTATTTTTCAACCCTTTAGAATCTGTGAAATGTCTTCAGTTATTGTGCACAATAAGATCCCTTACAAATTCAAGAGATGCTGAACAACAGAACCAAGTCAGAAGCACATTAGAATTCTTTTATGCTCAATGAGTCATGAGAATTACGTATTAAAGCTGTGAGCAATGGCTTGTAAATATAGGTGGAATTGAATCAAATCATTCTTTAATACTTCAGAGATTTTCAAACTCATTGCTGCTACCATTCCATTTTGTTTGGAAATGTATCTGTTCGTGTTTCCTAAACAAGGTGGTATGTAGAAAACCCCTATAAAAAACAAAAAAATAGGAAAACAAAAGACGATATTGTTTATAGTAGAGGTGGTTGCTCCTCTCTTGTTTTTACTTTTGGAAGTGGCACTTAGACACCCCAAAGAATTCTTTGGTGCAAAAACCCTTTCATCTAATCAAACTCCACTTTTTTTTCAGAAATTAAAAACTACAAACATCAAGTAAGTTTCAATTAAGGCCACATGGCAAATATGTAGTAAAGGTCAACCAACCATGTAACCATCCCTATACCAAGTACTAGGTCAAAAATCCTGACTTCCAGCTTGGCGTTTGTTCCAATAAATGGTTTGCAGCTGGGCATGGTGGCACATGCCTGTAATCCAGCATTCTGGGAGTCTGAGGCAGGAAAGTCATACCTTTGAACTTAGCCTGAGCCATTTAGTAACTTAGTGAGACCTTATCTCACAATAAAAAAGGGCTGGGGTGTAGCTCAGTGCAAAGGCCCTGAGTGCAATCCCTAGTACCACCCAACTATAAACAGTGAGTAATTACTCAGTAGAGTAATTTAGCATTAGCAGCAGACTGCTAGACTGTTAATTCAATTTAACTGATTAGGCAACCAAACTAGGAAGACTAGGATCAATTGCCTGCTAATTAACAACATGCATTTTTAAAAAGAGCAAGCCTGAGATTGATTGTCTCATATGTAACTATTTCATTCCATTAAATGATAAAGAAATCAAAGACTATTCTTTCGGGGAATAATGCAAAAGAAGCTGATTCAGAGCTTTCCTTTATTCCCATGTTGGGTCTCTTAGTTATCTCTGAGGGCCCCTGTAAGTCTCTAATCAGTGGAATGCTGTAGCCTCTAAATTTCCCACTCCCACACTTTTATGATTTCTCTCTACCTGCCTGACCGTCTTCTCTTTTCTCAGTGTGGCCTAGGATGGAATCGCCTAGGATGTACATTAAAGATGTGTACTCGGTCCATTTCACCTCTTCTCAAACAGAATCTCTGGATAGAGCTTAGAAATCTGAACTTCCCCACAGCAAACTCATGGGCAGAATTAAAATTGTACCAACTCACAGATATAATCTAAAGTCTCCCCTCCCCAGAACTTTCCCTGACCAATCCCATGTCCTGGGATTGGCATCCACATCTCATCCAACCCCCAGAGATAAACCTACAGCACTTATAGCCAGTCCTATAACAAGATACTCTAGGCACTTGGCATTTGACACCATCTTCCTAGCTACAGGTTTGCACATCAGCTGTGGTTTGGAGAAGGTTTAAGGGTGTCCTTCAAGCATTCATGTACTGGAAGCTTGGTCCTCAGGGTGGGGATGTTGGCAGGTAGAACTCTTAAGAGGCAGGAGTAGTGGGAGGATCTTAAGTAAATGGGGGTCATTTCCTTTGAAAGATAAAACTTCACTGTCTGGCTTCCTGTTTTATGATGGTATCTCTTCCTTACACTTCTACTCCTACCATAAAGGTGATACGCCAAGAGGGTTCTCACCAGTTGGGCCAATAGCACCATGAATCTCCAAAACTGTGAGCTAAATTATCTTTTTTTAATAAATATAACCTGCCTTGGGTATTTCATTATAGTACAAATCTAACATCCATTTTCCAAAAAGAAAGAAACTTTCAACTCCTAATGTTCTCAGAGCCTACCACAGTAGGTACATAGATGTTTCCATTGATTGACTGATTAATTTAACCCATATGTCTCCCTGTGGCTACTTAGAAAAACTCCAGAAACCTGCCTAGGCAAATGGAGCAAATTTGTCTACTCTTTCAGACAACTGATATAAAAATTAAGGAAATTGCTATATACAAGTGACCTCACTGGATTTTTTTTTTTTTTTAGAATCCAGCACATAGGAAAGAAAAAATTAAATCCCTGCAGGATTCAAGCAGATAAAATAAATGAGCAAAAGGCAGGCATTAGGGAGTCCTAGGGATTGTGGCAAATGGATCAGGATGGGCTTAAGACCTATGCCTACTTGATATTCTGATTTTTTTCCAAGTGATACTAAAAATCCAAATTTTAATGTGAAGTCTCATAGCTTTAAAATGTTGGCATTAGTTCAAATGATTTTTTAAAACAGTAAAAACCAAACAAAATCCATCTGAAAGGCTCACATAGGTTGTTGATAGCCATTTTGCATATTCTACTCTGGAACCCAGGCAGGGTCATGAAGACTTACATTTATTCAGAGTGGGTAGTCAGAGATGAGTATAAATCTTAAATTATTCCGAAAACAAGGAAAGACAATACATGTTTTAGGGAACTTTTATCCAAAGAT